GTAGCATGCACCCACATTCACCTGCACAAAGAGCGCTTTGACCAGCATCGCCTTTCCCTTTGCAGCTCCACGGAGAACAAAGCATGTCAGCCCTGCTATTTATGTATCCCAGCTGGGCGCCAGGGCTGGTCGACCCCTGACAGCATTCCAGCAGTCTTGCTGCACAACCAAGTCCCACATTCGCCCCCTCTGTCGGTGACTAGGACAGTCAGGATTTTAAATGGGCCGCATTGTGAGCCAGCTAACCCTCTCTCGCCGCATGTTCGACATACCTACACAACTGTCGGTCTGACCCCGTCCGATTGGCACGGCGCGGCACGACGGCTTAGTTAGGTGACTGTTTCTCTGTCAACGTCAAGCCGAGACCCGAACGACCGGGTCACGGGGATGGCACAACCGAATGGCGTGTCACGTCACGGCCCGTGTGAGTCACGTCACGAAGACTACGTCACGGCACTCACCCCAGACGGGGTGGGAAGGGTCGGCGCAACTTATGCTCATTCCTCACGAGAATCAAGATACTCTCTCCAATTGACGTCAACGACATGGCATTGTAAGTAATAATGGATGTTTGTTTTCACTATTGTTTACACTCCGTTGGGGAACGATATCGGTTTTATTGGTTTTTTAGATTAAGTTACTTTTAACTATTATTTTTGCATCATAAGTGTTTTGCAGCATGTTTGCAGCGCCAGTATGTTCGAAGGTGAGATACGGTTTAGTACTTATTGCTATATAAATGAAAGGACATAAGACCAAGAAAAATCCACCCCTCTAGCAGATGGGTATGTTGCAGACGATAATCCGGGGAGACATTTATAGGTACGTATTTAACCCGGCAGTTGCTGGGGTATTTCGCCACCCACCGTTTGCTGGGGGGGGGGGGGGGCGTAAAACGCCCCCAGCCGATAACTCGAGAACCAATAGGCGCAGCGAAACGCACGAGGCGGCAAACGAAAGAACGCGACGAGACGCTTCAGATGAGTACTTTAAAGTTGAATTTTGAGGTCACAGGTCAGGTCAAGGTCAGGTCAAACACCTGAAATCGGGCTTTCAGTAGCATGGACTTCAGGACTTCGCAATGGGCGCCTCTCGTCATAAACTCTGTCAAAACGGTGCACAATCCATCATATAAGGCCTACAAGAGTGTCAGCTCCATGCAGGGGTCAGTCAAGCATAGGTCAGGGTCAAGGTCAGGTCAACCGGGCAGGCACATATCCCCGAAAATAAAAACTGATATTCGCAGCCTGTGACACATGTTTTATGGGTAATTTGGGGCGTAGAGCACGATGGTGACATTCATTTTATCATATGTGTACGTGTTTGGCTAAAAAAGTTCAACTTAAGAAATGCATGTATCATGGTCGTGAAGTAGTCACGAGAAATTGCCAAGATTCAGTTCAAGATTTTGGAAAATGCGGAACGATAATCAATAATCGAAGATAGCCATCTGATGGTTCATGGTATTGGCAGTCTAATGGCGTTTACGGCATGTCTGTATATCTATTCTGTGATTTTATATGATTTTTTGAACATATGCCGTTTTTGGTCGAAAACTCAGAAATCATGACGTCACTAAAACCTCGATATCTCAAAAATTTTCCGACCGATTTTTTTGAAACTTTGTCACAATAAACTTCAATCAATTCCCTACAGGTACCCTAAATTTGGCGCGCCTGCGGCGCGCCGTTTTTATGCTATGGCCCGGCGAAAAAAGTGGGGGCGTTTAACGCCCCCCCCCCCCCCAGCAACTCGCGGGTTAAGGGATAATCTTTATTGAGACATCATTGAGGAGATTTTCGCAACTGTTCTGGAGAGGACGTCTGGAAAGGACGGTATTTACTTTTCTTATTGGTAGAGTTATCTTACACTATCGTCGCCGTAGGGACAAATTTGCTATATTATGCAGATGATAAGCTGATCTTGTCTCCGTAATATTTCAAAGTCTATATTCCTTCAAATGTGCCAAAAATGTGAGGTTTGATGCAAATGTAAGATACCATTCATACATCACATTATGCTCCCTTTCTTTGGTAATGTCACTCAAGATCTCGCTGCATTGAAAATATACCTACGATTTGGTACATGCGCTCTAATCATCTACCCAGCTATTCGAAATCTGTCAGTTGAATGATGGAATTAAGCTATGGCTCAGATAATTCCACTAGCGTCCCGAAGTCAACTGACGTCTCTCAGATCAGCTGGGTCACCCGTACCGTGCCGTGCTGTACATACGGTGGAGCTGGCATGCGGGGCCGACCACCACTTCGGAGTTAATCTGACGGGACCAGCCGGCTGGCCCCCGACCAGTGAAGTCGCCAGCGCGGTCACTCTTACTTTTAATCTGCCTTGACCCTGGCATAACGGCAATTTGTGCAATAGGAGAAAGACAGGAATGACTTATGGTGATGTAGTTATTCAAATGTTTACTATGCCAACTGACAGGGAGTCCAGAAAATGATTTAGAGCCTAAATGAGCCGTGGGAATTAAGCGCAAGAGTTGAAACGTGCTGGGTCATCAAGCATTGCGGACCGGAACCACAGTTTCAAAATCGCCAATCGATTCATGCGAGCAGTACCATTGAAGCGCATCTCAGACAATGCATGCGAGATTGCAACGTCATGCCACTCTCTTCTGCTGTTAAGTGTGGCGTTGGAAGCCTAATCGGAACAAAACGCATTGTTAATCTCATAAGCTTGCCCACGTTGATGCAAGTTTTGAACACCAAAAGTCATGCGATCGCAGAGGACGTGCATCCCATGTAACCCGTTCTTCGACTGTGTCAAAAGCAGACACTCTGAATCCAACATGGGGAAATATGTCAAGTGCATCACTTTTTACGATGGAAAATGCCATGCTCACGCTTCACAACACGATGGACCGTACTACACGCGGTTTTTTAGTTCGTGACTGTTCGGTCACAGTAGGAACACACAATTAGTGCGACAACTAAGACCAATCGTGGTCATAATTACAGGATCGACGCAACGGGTGCATTCGAGCGTGTCAATTCAGAGACTTCTTGGCTTTCCAGTGCCGCCAGCGAGTGGTGCAACTCATCAGCTTATCCCGAAGGTCGCCTTTTATCTTGCAGTGATTGCAACATGGATGGCACAATTTACATCCTGTATGAGTTTAACCCCATGATAGCCCGTTTGCATCCGCCCATCTGAGAAGCGCTATGCTATGAGCGTCGCAGTCTCCGAGACGAATAGTGCTTTCTTTGTGTGTGATATTGAAGTCTCCACCCCAATCGCCATTTGTTCCGCGCTAGGGATGATGCACTCTGGCACAGTATCTTTCCGCATCGAGATTCAAGGTCACTGTCACTCGAGTAAAAGTGGATAAACCGCCTCCAATATTTTGCATATTCATTGCAAACTTGGCACCACTCGCCGGTATAGAGTGAACCGTTCCTACTCATTCCCGCCATGCTTTCACGATCCACCTGGAATTTCTGTCATGAATCACGTCAAATAACCCATCACTTCAGTCATTCCGACGGTAATTTCGTTACCGTTACCGCCATAATTTCAACGTGTGCCCATATGAGTCTCTCGGGTGAACAGGCAGTTCGCCACCCCTGACTGGCAGTGCTGACACGGGGCGAATCTCTCCCATTGTTGACGAGAGCGAGAGGAGTGCCGCAGATACGCGCGCTTGGCCCGCCGGAAACAATGGAGGTGCCACGCCAGCAATCAATCGGATCGAGCATGACCTATGACCCTTTGCTCTTTCTCTCCATCAATGGGAGGGCAGGGGGAAAAGGTCGCGGCGAGTTTGGAATAAATCTAGAGATTGAGCTTTAGAGTGAGTTTTAAGTTTTAACCAGAAAAAAAATGGCTGGCCTTGTGTCCAAATTGTTTGGGTTTTATGGTTTGGTTAGGATGGTATGGGATGGTCATAAAATATTTCAAATGACTGATGATTGATTCTCAAATCATAAGAATTTGGAATAAAAACATATTTGAATTAGAAATTAATAATCACCTTTCGATCATCTTCTTGACGTTAATTTTGTCGATCGATTATTTGAGTGTTTTAGTCAACTTTGCTGCTATCATTGCACTTATCTAGTTAGAAGCAAGATACAGAGCCTCAACAAGGAAGACAGCGAGAGCGAAAGTGGTCCAGCCACCACTGCCGACCATTCAAGTCTTCATCACCGCTGTGGGGTATTGGAGAACGCAAGAGCAGTTAGTGTGACATTGGCCGTGATAGTATAAATAGAAACCGCTGGGCTCCCATCGGTGCTCGTGTAGTGACTGCCATAATATATGTAAACCAATGCAGTTACATAAGGGCTAATCATCAGACTGAGACTTCGGTGATATTCGCAGTGTCTAATGCTGATCAAGCGGTCTCAGTCTAAAATGATTTACGTCTCAGCATTTTGTATTATTCCGATGTAAATATTTTTCTCTATGATATAGGATGCTTGACAACTTTGATGGACACTTTATGATAGTGAGATACCTCCTTATAGGTATTCTTTTCAAAATGGGGGTTATGGGAGTGACACAATTTTGGGAGGTAAAAAAAAAAACTTCTCAATATTAATGTTATGATTTCTTTAAAAAAGGCATCTTGTTTTTCGACCGAAGCCTTTTACTTGTAACGTAGGGGGAAATATTACGAGGATGGAAAATGATTCTAGAAATACGTCGTGTGTTACGGAGAAATTCTGGTTTGACAATCTTAGACAATTATATTGATGATATTTTTTTCTAAATGTGACATACATTAAGTATGTAAGAATTAAATGATGCACACCACGGAGAAAATGTACCCTTATACTATTCCAAATGTATGCCTACTTATACACAACAATTTGCGTTTCTCAGTGTTTTACGGAAATAAAATTGTTTGCAGTGCTGTGAGTTAATGCTTACATCTTTCATATTGGTAAAACGACATTTTGCCTATTGGTACTCGCACCTATTTGGCCATTTATTAGCCTGCACCAGTGTGCAGGAATCATATCGCATGCAGCACCCACCTTTTGTAGATCATGTTGTCCCCTTGTGTTCTCTGTTTCACTGTGTGTGTTCTGGTCCCACCGGAGCACAAGTGCTCTTTGCGAGCTGCACCTCCGAGCCACTCAGCTCGGCGCCAAGTGAACTGGCGGCGCGCTTAGTAAGATAGCTTTATACCCGGCTAATACGCCGACCAATCCCGCGCCGGCGCCGGCCCACAACGGACCATGACGGCAGCAAAGCCAGAGCCGGGCCGCCGCTTCGCTGGCAGAGGAGGGTCGGCTGTGGACGGTTTGTCCCGGTGATCGTGAAAATTAAGAGACAACTTTTTAGCTTAGATAGGTATTTGTATTGATGACAATAAGTTATTTTCTGTAAATAAAAAAAAATCAAAGTAGGATTCAATCTAAGATTGATCATTTGAATTGAACTTTGTGATACAAACGAATGTCCCTTTATGGCGTTTGATGTATGGCTTTTGACATCCGTTCCTTTGCCTTGCAACGGCAAATGATCAATTTATCTTATTTCAATAAAATTGTCAAATTTATTTGTCAATGAAAAGTTAAAGCTGTTTTTTTCTTTTTAGCTAAATCACATGTACAATGATTTTCGAGGCTTTTTTTAAACTAATTTTTGATAAGGATTATTTGATCAAGCTGTCGAACCAGCTTTATTGAGCCTACTTACGAGATTGGTCACTGTTCGCCCGATATTGTATTACCGGTCTTAGCTTTACTATATTCTTAATATGCTCACCCATTTTAGTAAGCTCGCTTAGCTTCTTACTTCTTTTTATATTGGCTGTGTCGCCTTTGTCGTTTAACAGCTTTTCTATATTAAGTCGCACTTCGTTGGAGTTTAAACCGGTAATTCTCATCCATGCTATTTGTAAATGTATAGTTAGTCATCCTTTTGTCGCAAAGCTGAAGTAGTGAGGCACATTATTAGTTCAGTACCTTGACGGTTTTGTCAATTGGCGTTGGCTGATAATGACAAGGACTACAATCAACAAAAAAGTTGGCATAACCATTAGCTGGTTTTCTGAAGGTCGCACTATTTCGCACAGTATAGTAATGGACACTTGTTTAGTTTTTGCGATAATTTAGCTCGTTATTTACCAGGCCTTCGCCTGGCTTGTATATTTTTTTCAGAACAGTCCATAAGCTGATTCTTTATCAGCAACAATGCTCATTGTTGGGTATTTTTCTTGTTTTGCTTGTTCATGTTTTTTTATGCCCTTAACCCTCACCCGGCTAGGCCCTTCATCATCTCACAGATTAAGAATCAAATTTTCAGGGTATTTTACCCTCTGGAAAATTGTTTCTGTGCACATTTATTGTCTATGGGTCAATATTTAGAGACCGCAGACTAAACAAAATCACTTTCAAACAACTGTTTATGTCAAGAACAGATAATAATCCACGTATCGCTCCATTACACAATAGTCTTTACCTTTCGGCCTTGCCCACTGTGGTATCATCTGCCGACCAAGCCTTTCCGTCCGGTTCAATCCAGTTTTCCTTTATAATCTTTGCTCTCTGCTATCTGACACCCCCTCTCTCGCGTCACTGGCGATCATACCTGTTAGATACCGCCCTTTCTGAGTCACCCTCTGCCGCACAGCAGACAGACGAGACACCAAGGCCGGAATGACCACTCACGTGACCTTCTGTGGCCTGACGCACCCCAGTCACGTTGCGTGAAGCCCGGCCGGAAGGTGAGGAGTTCGCGAACATGCATCAACCACAAGAGCGTCACCAGAACGGGTGCCACTCCCTGGTGCAACCGGTTGTTCTGTGATGATGAGCTGATACTGGATCTCCACAGGAAGATAATTCATCCTGCGACAAGGTTACCCCCTCCCTCTTCGGTTAGTTGGGGTCAATTAGTGCGACCTGGAAGTTACGTGACGCATCTATGAGGTCACAATAGCCGTTTTCACGACGGCCATCTGGTACACATTTGGCGCACATCTGGCGCAGATTAGGTGCATATTTGGTCAAATTAGGTGCATTCACCGGATAGCCGATAGCCCGTCGTGAAAACGGCTAATATCTGCCCCGGGGTAGCAAGACTCAGTTATGACTTCGCCTAGCACGTCTTGAGGGGTCAAACTGTATGACACCGCAAAGGATGCGACGGATGCTTCCTCACTCCTTTGGCTGGCCACAATCAATTGCTCTGGCTGAGTATGCATGAATCATCGCAAAATGAACATTAACTTTGCAGACTGGGTAGATAGTCGTACTGTGTTGGAATGTGGGGAAGGGAGGAGACGAAGTCAGTGGTAGTGATTCAGCCGCGTAGGTGACTTTGGTATGATATGGCTGACTCATGGGCGGATGGGTTGAGATGAAGTCGAAGCTACAAAGCTGATTGAATGACGATGTTGGCGTGCCGTCATGTTGAAATGGGGTGATGTAGCGTCAGGATCTCGATAACATGTTGACAGCTGCACATGTCAGCCCGCGTACGGAATGATTGGCATCTCCATGCTTCACCTGGACAGATCTGGGTAGCTTTGGCTGGAAATCATGGACCTGACCACAGAGGGAGGTCGGTCAGCACACACGTAAGAAACGGGACAGGGAAAGGAAAACAGGGACAAGGGCAGATAGCGCAGAGGCATGTCAATATGCGCAATCTCTGCATCGTAATGTATGCAGAGGTGCGGCCAGAGCAAGTGAACAAACAACGGCCAGTCGCGGCTGATGAGCCAGGAATTTACAGCCGAGGAACAATGTGCTTGTGCACGTTCCACGGCTAGAATGTAGCTGGATGAAATATCTGTGCAGCATTAATTACGGTTTACGTGGTCACGATGATCAGCTGGTTATGCGTATGTTAGATACTCAGAAAAAGGCCAAGGTTTTTGGCATTTGTCTTCTTGCATTTCTTGCATTTGCGCCCATGTTTTCTCACAAATTCTCAAGCTGATGATCAATGGTGTAAATTGTAAATAGAAGCTATATAAACAAAACATGTCTGTTTTGGTTTGTGTTTACGGGTAAATAAATGCATTATGAATGTTGCGGTAAAAACACATTATTGTATACAGCCAAAAATGTATCATATTTGTGTAGGTATATTTGCTGATGCAAGCGACCTGCACGTCGCTAAGGTCACAAACACCGCATCTCTGTGATTCAGAACACACACATAAAATGCGCGGCTCACTCACACCCCAACAGCGGCATTAGCAATGTTCTTTGCCTGGGATACATGCATACCCAGGCATTTGCTTATCTGCTATCAGCGGTGTTGAAACACGCATACCGGCAAGGCTCAGACGCTCTGTTCTGCCAACTACATATGCAAGTTAAATTACTCGTCAGTGATCGCAAGCAGCGTCCTAATGCGTCGAGCCATACCCGATACAACCACTCGGTCTACATTGGCCAAGACATTACGTAAGTGTTCGAAGAGGGATCGCGCGTGGCGGTATAATGCTTCGGTCATTCTGTTTAGCTATTCCAAGTCAGCGTGATGGCTCTAAGTAAGTCTTCTGGAAGGATGATCCGAAGGTGTCGCACGGACTTGATCACGTACTAGCTGACCCTTGACCTTCGTCATGAGGGTCCACCCGTATCACTGCTGCGATAATGGAGGGTCAAGGTCGAACTCTGACCCACTATGCGACACCACATATCTGGGGGATTCCGTCTGTGTGCTATACCAGCTCTGCTGAGCGTATCCAGCCGATACAATTCGGCCAGACTAATCTAGCGGCTGCCGTTGGGGATTATTGCGAAAATTACTGATGCCACTTGTTAGCTGCGAGACTGGATTTTCAGGTTTGGCATATTGGGCTGATTCGTATTCATACGGAGGCCAAAGTGGTGCTTAGAGCGGTATTGAAGATTTCAATCCATGTCGATTTGCCATTTTAGTGCTTAAGTATGAAGCTAATTTCACAAATCAAATTCCAATGATTTTTTGCAAGGCAATTAAGAATATGCAGAAACTCGCAATATATATTCTTTCTTTTTTATGGTTCAAATTGAGCATATTAAGAAACTATTCAATATCTTGTTTGATGCTTTATCAAAACTGCCTTCAAAGCCGGAATACATATTGTGCATCAGTAATAAATAAATAAGCTCGAATCTGGCTATATAATTTTCGAAAAGATCTCGCAGTAGTGAGTGCAGCAGAACTCTTCAAGCTATTCTGTCACTAATTATATGGTGCAAAATGGTACCAACCGGCAACCGCCCATATGTTTTTTATATAAAACTTTGTTTTGTTTCCACGTTTGCAGTTTTGATATCAAATCTCGCCCATCTCCCCATTGTCGGTCAGTGGCAATGCTGATCGCCACTGCAGCTGCAACAGTGGTGTGGGTGGCTGTCCTCCACCCCTGTGTCGGCGCCCTTTGAGCTGGGCCGCTATGCTCCAGGGCAGAGACGCTCCCCCGCTCCCCTCTCAGCAACTCTTGGAGCAGCCGACCGCGACCTTGCCATCACCCGATGGAAAGTTGTCCGGCGCCGCGGCCGGCCGGCAGAACGCGTTGTTGCACAAACCGTCCCGACTCGGTGTCATCCTCAGCTGCACAGGCGGTGTCATGTGCACGTCCCACGTGCACGCCGTGCACGCCGCCGGTCCTGTCCTGAGACTCCGCCCCGCCGCACTGTAGGCCGGCAGCCCGAAAAAGCGCTAGAAATTCCCCCAAACTGACTCTCCGCAATATGAACAAAATAGGTATCATTTAATCCCAAATTGATCGAAGAATACGATTCCGATGCCAGTTTTTCCCTAAGGTCAAAATTGAGGTCGTCAGTTGTCACCAAACACAAGACAATTTAGACTCTCTAGTGGCCACCACATTTACCGATTTTCATGATGATCTTCAGTGGTAATTTATTAGCTGACCAATCGTCGTTTTGAACGAAATTTCCTCACAGGCTAGTTTAGGGCACTGTTGTTCACTGTGCCAACATCATTCTTACATATTGCATCGCTTTTCTGCAAGATAAGCTAGCTTTTTGCAAGCAGCTGCAAGACGTAATTAAAAATCATATCTAATTTTTTTAATTAGACTTTTATAAAAATGTGATTTCGAGCAGCTAAAAATGAACATTTTATACTAGCCTCTGATTACTCATCTTTCGTTCCATATAGGTGCTTTGCTGCTTTTC